CGACACTCACTACCTTTGTGTACCGGGCTAACGAGTACGCAACGGACAAAATTCTTTTCTTTACAAACGACATCTCAAACTCTTCTAAGGCATGTTGGCCAAAATATATCCGACGCTCTTCGAAGTGGTGGACGTGTCGTAACAGTACAGAATTCAGAGCAAGCTTATTCTCTCTCCCACATCACTTCCATAGATAACATACCAGTCACCATTCGTAAACACACTACTCTTAATTATTGAAGTGGTACTGTGGTCTTACCGCCTACCATTGTACGGAGTGATTTTTTGTCTTGTGGTGATATCTTAGAACAATTAGCCCACTCGTAGGAGGAGGCACTTTCATAGTAACATTGCTCGTTTAACCTTCGACAGCCGTGAACTTCTGTTCTCTGTCTATATTGCAGGCCATCATTTAGAGGTCCGTCAAGTAGTTCCCACTCCCCAACATTGTCATAATTGATCTGTAGTGTTTAGCGGGGTGCTAAACACTACAGATCTGCTGCAGAATGCTGCGGTGTAGCAGATCATTCCACTACGTCTTGTAGTCTTACCTCTTGTCTCAATTGCAAGGAACCTCATCCTTCCTTTTCCCGCTGTTGCCAGGTAATGAACGAGAGATCTGTTACTTTAAGGAGTGTGAGGGCCTTACACTATGGCAGTCTCTCAGCTCCGCCTTCAAGGAAAACTTCCTCGTGTCCCATATGCTCGTGTAGCCCGAAGACCTCCAACCTTGAGGGTCCTCCCACCTCCCAATCCCTCTGCGTTCGACACGGGGTTACCCCAGTTTTTAATTCTTTTGCAGGTTTATTCTCTGACACTCCTACCTCCGCACCACTTCCTACTTATACTTCTTCATCTCGCACGATTGCTTCTCAGTCTACTAGACCTCGCAGACCTACACTTTCTTCGCGGCCATCACCTGTACAGAATCTATCTTCTACCTCGGAGACTAGTTCTCGCCCCCTTTCCAGCTCTCACACGAAGGTGGAGATTCATACCCCCAACTCGTGTAGTCCCCTGTCCCCCTCCGTCTTCTTCCATAGTTACCCTCCAACCTCCTTCCCCTCCTGTTACACTGCAGGACTCTTCTACCCCAGCCAATGCATCCCTCCAGGTTCATACTCCCCGCCCCCCTCAGACCTCTTTGACTGCCTCCATAGTTACTCCGACCTTTACTTGCAATGCCTCTCCTGTCCCTGACATCATGGCGTTGTCGGATTCCTTGGCAACTGAGACGTTAGACGCTATCTCCAGCTATATAGTGTAGACGACAATCCCGATGGACATCAACACGCCTCCTTCTAACCCTTCTATTTCCCAACCCTCGCAACAATCTATTCCTCCACAGTATTCTAATTCTTCCTTTCTTGCACGCTTACCAATGCCTCCACACATTAACTTTACTGATCCTAAAAGCCCTAAAAGTCTGCACTTAAAACAGAATCAAAATTCTGAAAGTCTGCACTTAAAACAGAATCAAAATTCTGAAAGTCTGCACTTAAAACAGAATCAAAATTCTGAAAGTCTGCACTTAAAACAGAATCAAAATTCTGAAAGTCTGCACTTAAAACAGAATCAAAATTCTGAAAGTCTGCACTTAAAACAGAATCAAAATTCTGAAAGTCTGCACTTAGAATAAAAATTCTGAAAGTCTGCACTTAAAACAGAATCAAAATTCTGAAAGTCTGCACTTAAAACAAAATCAAAATTCTGAAAGTCTGCACTTAAAACAGAATCAAAATTCTGAAAGTCTGCACTTAAAACAGAATCAAAATTCTGAAAGTCTGCACTTAAAACAGAATCAAAATTCTGAAAGTCTGCACTTAAAACAAAATCAAAATTCTGAAAGTCTGCACTTAGAATCAAAATTCTGAAAGTCTGCACTTAAAACAGAATCAAAATTCTGAAAGTCTGCACTTAAAACAGAATCAAAATTCTGAAAGTCTGCATTTAAAACAGAATCAAAATTCTGAAAGTCTGCACTTAAAACAGAATCAAAATTCTGAAAGTCTGCACTTAAAACAGAGTTAAATTATTTGGAGTAAGAAGAGAGTGTTGCCATAACTTACAGCGTAGGTAAGGCGCCCAGACCATAAAACGCGACGGGGCTGAGTGATCCAATTTGATTACCGTTGAGGTGTCTGTAGTGAAGAAAGTCACAAGAGTGTTAGTTGCTGTGTGAGTTATATTGAGAAGTGAATAAATGCTTTATAGAAGTGCCGAGATGATGAGACACTTGGGCAACATTTGTGTATCTGTATTCTGGAAGAGTATCGTCACTTAGTAACTTCTTCAGTCCAGTGCAGAGAAAGATGGAAGATGAGGAGCTTGAGGTAATCAGTCCATTAGTCTGGAGCCGATGTGTTCAGTCTGAGCACATAGACACCAGGCTGAGGGACTGATTACCTCAAACTTCTCATATGCCACCTTTCTCTACATTGGACTGATGAAGCCACTGACTGGAAAAACGTTTCCAGAATGAAGATACGCAAATGTTTCACAGGTGTCTCATTTCTAGAAAAATATTCTGGAAAGCGTTGCTGTCGACAAATTTATATTACAACTTATAAACAGTATCAGCACTGAATTAAGTTTCATAATGAATTACTGATTAGATTTGACAGTGAACTATTTATATATACAGTGGACCCCCGGTTAACGATATTTTTTCACTCCAGAAGTATGTTCAGGTGCCAGTACTGACCGAATTTGTTCCCATAAGAAATACTGTGAAGTTGATTAGTCCATTTCAGACCCCCAAACATACACGTACAAACGCACTTACATAAATACATTTACATAATTGGTCACATTTGGAGGTAATCGTTATGCGGGGGTCCACTGTAATGATAATATTAAAGACTTATACCACAGTGAGCTTTCAAAGGTAGTGGGTGACTGGAAGCCGATAAAACACTATTGATTCAAAGAATTGACGTTATCCTCACTTTCTCTGGATTAAATCTGACTGCCTCTCATTCCTCAAGGTGCTGTATGACCTCTAGAGGATTAGCACTTCCCACTAAAATAAATCACAGCAAATACAAGAGAAAATTCAATATAAATATGTGAGAAAATTATCCTCCCTGTATATGATAATCCCAGCAACTTCTCTACCTCGTAGCTGTACCTTACACCCATCCAGATGCAGAGGAGTACAGTGGACCCCCGCATAACGATTACCTCCGAATGCGACCAATTATGTAAGTGTATTTAAGTAAGTGCGTTTGTACGTGTATGTTTGGGGGTCTGAAATGGACTAATCTACTTCACAATATTTCTTATGGGAACAAATTCGGTCAGTACTGGCACCTGAACATACTTCTGGAGTGAAAAAATATCGTTAACCGGGGGTCCACTGTATTAGCTTATATTTTACAAGATTACCTTGCTGCCATTACCAAAATTCAGACCAGGAGCTGTATATTAACACTTTCTAAAGAGACAGAATCTTTTGTTCGACGCCCCTTGATGGAGGCGCTTTAATGCTGGTGACAGACACCTGATCCTTCCCTTAGACTGAACCTGGTTCTCTCCCTTTCCCAGGTACTGTATGATAAGAATCATATAACCATAATTTTTAAAGGGGTAGGCCGGTAAGCCAGCGGAAGGCATCGGTCAGATGATCTAAAGCTCCAGCTGCTGGTCATCATATGACTAACACCTGCGCCAGGAAACACTAGTGCTAACCCTTGAAGGTATAGAAATTAAGCTCAACACAGGAGACACAAGAGCTGTATCTCAACACTCTCCTAAGGCCCAGCAATTGTAGCTAAAGGCACTCAAGAAGGCCAGGAGCTAGAATTTAAATCGAACACCATGAAAATTTGAGGCAAATCATAGGAAGAATTGGCAAGATATCCTTAAGAATCCCTGACAGGTCCAGGAACATTCATTCTCCTGAAGAGGCAAGAAGGCCCCTGGCATGGTGGCAAGAAGGCCCCTGGCATGGTGGCAAGAAGGCCCGTGGCATGGTGGCAAGAAGGCCCCTGGCATGGTGGCAAGAAGGCCCGTGGCATGGTGGCAAGAAGGCCCCTGGCATGGTGGCAAGAAGGCCCCTGGCATGGTGGCAAGAAGGCCCCTGGCATGGTGGCAAGAAGGCCCCTGGCATGGTGGCAAGAAGGCCCCTGGCATGGTGGCAAGAAGGCCGTGGCATGTGGCAAGAAGGCCCCTGGCATGGTGGCAAGAAGGCCCCTGGCATGGTGGCAAGAAGGCCCCTGGCATGGTGGCAAGAAGGCCCCTGGCATGGTGGCAAGAAGGCCCGTGGCATGGTGGCAAGAAGGCCCGTGGCATGGTGGCAAGAAGGCCCGTGGCATGGTGGCAAGAAGGCCCCTGGCATGGTGGCAAGAGGCCCCTGGCATGGTGGCAAAAGGCCCGTGGCATGGTTGGCAAGAAGGCCCTGGCATGGTGGCAAGGGAAAGGGCCCTTTGGGATGGTGGCAAGAAGGCCCCTGGATGGTGCCCAAAAAAGGGCCCCCGGCATGGTGGAGAAGGGCCCCCGATGGGGAAGAAAGGGCCCCTGGCATGGGGGGCAAGAAGGCCCTGGGATGTGCAAGAAAGGCCCTGGCATGGTGGCAAGAAGCCCCTGGGAGGTGGCAAGAAGGCCCTGGCAAGGTGGCAAGAAGGCCCCTGGCATGGGGGCAAAAGGCCCTGGCCATGGGGGCAAAAAAGGCCCTGGCCCATGGTGCAAAAAGGCCCCGGCATGGTGGGGAAAAAGGGCCCTGGCATGGTGGCAAAAAGGCCCAGGCATGGTGGCCAAAAGGCCCCGGGTGGGCAAAAGGCCCTTTGGGATGGTGGCAGGGCCCGTGGCATGGTGGCAAAAAGGCCCCTGGCATGGTGGCAAAAAGGCCCGTGGCATGGTGGCAAAAAGGCCCCTGGCATGGTGGCAAAAAGGCCCCTGGCATGGTGGCAAAGAAAGGCCCTGGGATAGGTGGCAAGAAGGCCCCTGGCATGGGGGCAAAAGGCCCTGGCATGGTGGCAAGAGGCCCTGGCATGGTGGCAAGAAGGCCCTGGCATGGTGGCAAGAAGGCCCCTGGCATGGTGGCAAAGGGAAAGGCCCCCTGGCATGGTGGCAAGAAAGGCCCCGGCAATGGGGCAAGGGAAAGGCCCTGGCTGGTGCAAGAAGGCCCCTGGGCATGGGGCAAGAAGGCCCCTGGCATGGTGGCAAAGAAAGGCCCCTGGCATGGTGGCAAAAAGGCCCTGGCATGGTGGCAAAAAGGCCCCTGGCATGGTGGCAAAAAGGCCCCTGGCATGGTGGCAAAAAGGCCCCTGGCATGGTGGCAAAAAGGCCCCTGGCATGGTGGCAAAAAGGCCCCTGGCATGGTGGCAAGAAGGCCCCTGGGCATGGTGGCCAAGAAGGCCCAGGCATGGGGGCAAAAGGCCCTGGCATGGTGGCAAAAAGGCCCTGGCATGGTGGCAAAAAGGCCCTGCATGGTGGGAAAAGGCCCCTTGGCCCTGGCGGCAAAAAGGCCCTGGCATGGTGCAAAGTCTGAATTCAGAGTTTAATTTTTTTAATAAAGTGGCTGATAATTTGCTTCAGGTTAGCTCTGCAATGAATAAAATTTTTTTGGAAGGTGTATAGCATGGATAGAGAGCGAAAATATTCAGTTTTTTAAGTACTCACAAGGTGCGGAGGTGTCTATAGGCAGGTACTCACAAGGTGCGGAGGTGTCTATAGGCAGGTACTCACAAGGTGCGGAGGTGTCTATAGGCAGGTACTCACAAGGTGCGGAGGTGTCTATAGGCAGGTACTCACAAGGTGCGGAGGTGTCTATAGGCAGGTACTCACAAGGTGCGGAGGTGTCTATAGGCAGGTACTCACAAGGTGGGGGAGGTGTCTATAGGCAGGTACTCACAAGGTGCGGAGGTGTCTATAGGCAGGTACTCACAAGGTGCGGAGGTGTCTGTAGGGAGGTACTCACAAGGTGCGGAGGTGTCTATAGGCAGGTACTCACAAGGGGCGGAGGTGTCTATAAAGGGAGGTACTCACAAGGGCGGAGGTTTTATGGCAGTATCACAAGGTGCGGAGGTGTCCCAAGGCAGGTTTCTACAAGGTGCGGAGGGTGTCTTAGGGGGGGACTCACAAGGTTGGAGTGTCTATAGCAGGGTATCACAAGGTGCGGAGGTGTCTATAGGAGGTTTCTCACAAAGGGGCCGGAGGTGTCTATAGGCAGGTCTCACAAGGTGCGGGAAAGGGGTCTATTTGCAGGTTACTTCAAGGTGCGGAGGTGTCTATAGGCAGGTACTCACAAGGTTGCGGGAGGGGGTTTTTATGGCAGGTATCACAAAGGTGCGGAGGTGTTATAGGCAGGTAAACCAAGGTGCGGAGGTGTCTATAGGAAAGGTATTCACAAAGGGACGGAGGGGTTATAGGGAGGTACTCACAAGGGCGGAGGTTTTAAGGGAGTTACTCACAAGGTGCGGAGGTGTCTATAGGCAGGTACTAAAAGGTGCGGGTGTTATAGGGAGGTATCCCAAGGGCGGAGGTGTCTATAGGCAGGTACTCCCAAAGGGGCGGAGGTGTTTAAAAGGCAGGAAAAACAAGGTGCGGAGGTGCTTAGGCAGGTATCCAAGGGCGGAGGTGTCTATGGCAGGTTCTCCAGGGGCGGAGGTGTCTATAGCCCGGTCTACAAAGGTGCGGAGGTGGGCTTAGGAGGTACTCACAAGGTGGGGAGGTGTTTATAGGCAGGTCTCACAAAGGGGCGGAGGTGTCTATAGGCAGGTATCACAAGGTGCGGGGTGCTAAAAAGGGAGGGACCACAAGGGGCGGGGTGTCTATGGCGGTACCCCAAAGGGGCGGGGGTTCTATAGGAGGTACTCACAAGGTGCGGAGGTTCTATAGGCGGTCTCACAAGGTGCGGAGGGGTCTATAGGGATACTACAAGGGGGGAGGTGCTATTTGGGAGGTACTCACAAGGGGCGGAGGTGTCTTTAAAGGGAGGTACTCACAAGGTTGGAGGTGTCTATAGGCAGGTACTCACAAGGTGCGGAGGTGTCTATAGGGAGGTACTCACAAGGTGCGGAGGTGTCTTTAGGCAGGTACTCACAAGGTGCGGAGGTGTCTATGGCAGGTACTCACAAGGTGGGAGGTGTCTATTGGGGTACTCCAAGGGGCGGAGGGCTAAGGGAGGTACTACAAGGTGTGGGGGGTGTCTAAGGAGGGCTCCAAGGGGCGGGGGTTCTATAGGGAGGTCTCACAAGGTGCGGAGGTGTCTTTAGCAGGGACTCACAAGGTGCGGAAGTGTCTATAGGGAGGTACAAGGTGCGCAGGTGTCTATAGGAAGGTATTCATAAGGTGCGGAGGTGTCTATAGGGAGGTACTCACAAGGTACGGAGGTATCTATAAGGAGGTACTCACAAGGTGCGGAGGTTGTGGAGACCGTGGAAAGCTCCCTCACTTATAGCAGTCAGGTTATTATCCCTTAGAATCAGAATACGGAGGCGCCACAGGTACTTGAAAGTGCCGTTCCTCAGGTGCTGGATGTGGTTCCTCGACAGGTCACTGTTGAGTAACAGTAATGGTTAGTAGTACCAAAGAAATGATCAGAGGAAGTGGATATAGTTACTTTGTGATAATACAGTAATTCCTGTACTCATGGCTTCAGTGACTCGTTCTCAAAACTCATAAAGTGAAAATTAAATTGTACGGGAATAAGATACTGATTACCTCAATCTCCTCCTCTCCTCACACCTTTCTGCTTTGTATTGGACTGATGAAGCCACTGTGTGGCGAAATGTTTCCTCAGTAAAGATCCACATATGTTGTATAAGTGTTTCAGTCTTTTATGTTATATGCAGTGATGGAAGACCAGGACGACTTTCATAGCGTAGGCAGTGATGGAAGACCAGGACGACTTTCATAGCGTAGGCAGTGATGGAAGACCAGGACGACTTTTATAGCGTAGGCAGTGATGGAAGACCAGGACGACTTTTATAGCGTAGACAGTGATAGAAGACTAAGACGACTTTTATAGCGTAGGCAGTGATAGAAGACTAAGACGACTTTTATAGCGTAGGCAGTGATAGAAGACTAAGACGACTTTTATAGCGTAGACAGTGATGGAAGACTAAGACGACTTTTATAGCGTAGACAGTGATAGAAGACTAAGACGACTTTTATAGCGTAGACAGTGATGGAAGACTAAGACGACTTTTATAGCGTAGACAGTGTTAGAAGACTAAGACGACTTTTATAGCGTAGACAGTGTTAGAAGACTAAGACGACTTTTATAGCGTAGACAGTGTTAGAAGACTAAGACGACTTTTATAGCGTAGACAGTGTTAGAAGACTAAGACGACTTTTATAGCGTAGACAGTGTTAGAAGACTAAGACGACTTTTATAGCGTAGACAGTGTTAGAAGACTAAGACGACTTTTATAGCGTAGACAGTGTTAGAAGACTAAGACGACTTTTATAGCGTAGACAGTGTTAGAAGACTAAGACGACTTTTATAGCGTAGACAGTGATGGAAGACTAAGACGACTTTTATAGCGTAGACAGTGTTAGAAGACTAAGACGACTTTTATAGCGTAGACAGTGATGGAAGACTAAAACGACTTTTATAGCGTAGACAGTGATTGAAGACCAGGACGACTTTTATAGCGTAGGCAGTGATAGAAGACTAAGACGACTTTTATAGCGTAGGCAGTGATAGAAGACCAGGACGACTTTTATAGCGTAGACAGTGATAGAAGACTAAGACGACTTTTATAGCGTAGACAGTGATAGAAGACCAGGACGACTTTTATAGCGTAGGCAGTGATAGAAGACTAAGACGACTTTTATAGCGTAGGCAGTGATAGAAGACCAGGACGACTTTTATAGCGTAGGCAGTGATAGAAGACTAAGACGACTTTTATAGCGTAGGCAGTGATAGAAGACCAGGACGACTTTTATAGCGTAGACAGTGATAGAAGACTAAGACGACTTTTATAGCGTAGACAGTGATAGAAGACCAGGACGACTTTTATAGCGTAGGCAGTGATAGAAGACTAAGACGACTTTTATAGCGTAGGCAGTGATAGAAGACCAGGACGACTTTTATAGCGTAGACAGTGATAGAAGACTAAGACGACTTTTATAGCGTAGACAGTGATAGAAGACCAGGACGACTTTTATAGCGTAGACAGTGATAGAAGACTAAGACGACTTTTATAGCGTAGACAGTGATAGAAGACTATGACGACTTTTATAGCGTAGACAGTGATAGAAGACTAAGACGACTTTTATAGCGTAGACAGTGATAGAAGACTATGACGACTTTTATAGCGTAGACAGTGATAGAAGACTATGACGACTTTTATAGCGTAGACAGTGATAGAAGACTATGACGACTTTTATAGCGTAGACAGTGATAGAAGGCTATGACGACTTTTATAGCGTAGACCCTGATAGAAGACTATGACGACTTTTATAGCGTAGACAGTGATAGAAGACTAAGACGACTTTTATAGCGTAGACAGTGATAGAAGACTAAGGGAATGAATACCTTTAATCAAGGCTATGAGACTCACCTTCTATCAAGACATATTAACTACCCGACTTAAAAATTGCCTTTCCACTTAGTGTCTGCAAAGTTTCAGTCTCCTGTTTACAACTGAAGTAGCCTTCAGAGATACTGGTGAAGTGTGGAGTGATGGGAGGAGAGTGATCCTCCAGAAAAACTGATGGAATGAGGCATCATTGGTGTGTCTGTGCGCGCCGGGGATCAGTAATAAGACTTCGGAGGCCTGTTACTTTATTTGGGCTCTTGGTGCACAGGCAGCGTGTTTAAGTGCCCTGACAAAGGAGGATGGAGTAGACCTTGTTTCCTGAGTGACGTCGGCTGCCTGAGTGAGTCAGGGTAAGCGTGGTGAGGACTGAGGTATTACCTGGAGTTTACCTGGAGAGAGTTCCGGGGGTCAACGCCCCCGCGGCCCGGTCTGTGACCAGGCCTCCTGGTGGATCAGAGCCTGATCAACCAGGCTGTTGCTGCTGGCTGCACGCAAACCAACGTACGAGCCACAGCATGGCTGATCAGGAACTGACTTTAGGTGCTTGTCCAGTGCCAGCTTGAAGACTGCCAGGGGTCTGTTGGTAATCCCCCTTATGTGTGCTGGGAGGCAGTTGAACAGTCTCGGGCCCCTGACACTTATTGTATGGTCTCTTAACGTGCTACTGACACCCCTGCTTTTCATTGGGGGGATGGTGCATCGTCTGCCAAGTCTTTTGCTTTCGGAGTGAGTGATTTTCGTGTGCAAGTTCGGTACTAGTCCCTCTAGGATTTTCCAGGTGTATATAATCATGTATCTCTCCCTCCTGCGTTCCAGGGAGTACAGGTTCAGGAACTTCAAGCGCTCCCAGTAATTGAGGTGTTTTATCTCCGTTATGCGCGCCGTGAAAGTTCTCTGTACATTCTCTAGGTCGGCAATTTCACCTGCCTTGAAAGGTGCTGTTAGTGTGCAGCAATATTCCAGCCTAGATAGAACAAGTGACCTGAAGAGTGTCATCATGGGCTTGGCATCCCTAGTTTTGAAGGTTCTCATTATCCATCCTGTCATGGCGTGAAATATGAACCCGGCTGGGCATACATCGCTTGGCCACCTACCCATGGTCGTCCTCGATCATGGGAAGGTGGCGTTAAAAAAAACTCTTGGTCTCTCTCTCAGGAAAAGGGCACAGAATACAGAATAAAAAATATATATACATGTGGACATAGACAAATAAAACTTGTTAAAGGGACGAAAAAATAGGGGGAGGGGTGCTAAACATCGTGGTCCAAGGCAGTGAACTCCGGTGGGTGTCACTGCACACCTTCCTGCGTCTGGATAGATGCAGCAACACAGGAGACATTGCTGCAGCTGAGCTGTGATGTAACAGTTTATGATCTTCTCTGGAATGGTGAAGAAGTCATTGTGAAGTAGTCACTGCAGGGTTCACTCAACCTGGGGCACAACCTGCTGGTGCCCTCGAGTGAGGCGTCGTCAGTACTCGGCAACTGGGCGGGACTTCTTCTGGCAAGCAACTCAGGAGGACGTTTCTCGACTGGTACTGTTGCTGGGGCTGTCACTGCCGACGAGCGTGGAGTGAGTCAGCAGAGCCGACTCACGAGGGAGTCGTAGCAGAAAACACTGTAACTGGAGTGAGCGGACTAGCAGTCAGACATTATCTTTGTGCAGGCTGCTCACTGAAGCTGTGACACGAGTCTGACAGTCTCCTGCCGACAAGGCGACTGTGGCTTGACGATGTCATCCTCTTGACAGAGTTCGAGTCAGCAGAGGTTAGAAAAAGCATTCTCAGACTGATTTTCTATGCAGATCTGTACTCTGACGGTCAAGAGGTGGAGTGAAAAGAGTCTCAATGGGGAGTCGTAGTAGGTACGACTCAGGCATGGCATCAACGAGCAGCGAGCATAAGAGTTTTCTCTACATGGGGGCTCAGACACTCGTAAACTGATGACAGGAATGACTAATGTCAGCTGTCAATAGGTACAACGCAGTGACATGTAACATGAGGGTGCAACCAATGGTCAGGGCTCAGACCACACTGTGGTCTACACACACATCTAGGCTCATACCACACATCGGGACACGAAAAACTGCACACACACTCACTACATATGCAGTTGCAACATGGCTTGCATTAGCAAAAGGATGCTTTTGCTAATGCAAGCAAAATTCGACACTAAAACATTAACAATCATTGAGGACATTAGTAAAGAATACTGACTGAGAGGAATTAACATGTGACATCCATATGTATCTTCTCTCAATCCTCCTTTACAATATTGAATACAAATTGTTCATTGTGAGACTATAACACTGTCGATGTGACATCATGTAGTGATGTCAGGCATGACGTCTTGAGGGATGTCAAGATTGCGTGGCGTCAGGGCAGCATGGTGACGTCGCAAGGTGACGTCAGGCAGCATAGTGACGTCAGGCAATGTCCTGGGTGACGTCGGGCAGATGTTGCAAGGTGACATCAGGCAAACGTAGTGAGGTGACGTCGAGCAGACGTCCTGGGTGATGTCGCGAGATGACTTTGGGCAAACGTCCTGGGTGGCGTCGAGCAGACGTCTTGAGGTGATATCGTGGGGTGACATAGTGAGGTGACGTCAGGCAGCAGACAACACATGTGGCTTTCGACATCTAGTTTGTTAACCTACATGGGTCGCTTCACATGGCTTATAGATCCACAGGGTCTTATCCACACATGGCCTCATGATCCCTGTGGCTTCGAGTGACCTCAGGCACTCGGATACACAACTCTGGCCAAGAATTCACACTGAATTCATAAAAATAGTGAAGGGAGTGAGAACATAGTGGTGTATGGTGGTGTGAGATGAGCGTGGGTGGTGTATGGCGAGGGAGGATCTGGCTGCTTCGCACCCCACATATCCACTTCGAGAATCAACCACAATGGACGCAGAGCACCACACAAACTCATCTCTGACTTACTGAGCTAAACAGCAATGGTGCCCGGTGGCCTAGTGGCTCACTTCACATGGCGAGGGTCTGCAT